TCAGATTCAGTTCAGTTTAGTTCAGTGGGCAGCAGAAGCTCAGCTTTTCTGGCCATCTCCTGGTAAAAAGTATGGGTTCTCGTGGCCTTGGACCAGGTAAGAGTAACGAGAATTATTTTTACCTTTGAAGGTCTTCATTACCTCTGGGTTGAGATCATATGATCCAGTCTGTAACACGAATGAAAAGAGTTAGTGTGAGTCTGAGGGAGGGCAAAAATAAATAAATAAAACACATCCAAAAACAAACACTTCAAAACCCAATGACACAAAGAATTACAACATCAACATGATTTTGTTTTTTAACAACATGTGATTTTTTTCCCCCCGAGCTCACTCACAGGGCCACAGTCATGACCAACTAGGTGAAGCTGCCCATCACCCAGAATGCACCAGGACTTTCAATTGTGGAAAACAAAGACAAAATCAAAATATGAGGAAGAATCAGAATCCAAGAATCAGTGTCATACCCTTACCTTTTTCCATCCTGACTGCTTCAGCCGAAATCCCTAAAGCAAGAAAGTCAAGAAAAGCAAGGCCAAGAGTAGGAGGCTACGTCAGTGTAAGTCAGAAATATAGAGAGCAACGTCTAGCACTAAAAAGTCCATAGGTGAGTAAAATGGTTTTGAAAAGTCTCAAGTATGATGTTAAAAGTCGGGGTCATGTGATAATAAAGTCTAAACTATGAGAAGGTCCAATTTGAGGTCTGATCTTCTTTCCACGGGCAGGTACAGTTTGGGCTTCCAAACATACAGCAGCTGGTTCATTGGCCGATAGTATCACATTATTCAAGATTTTCATTTGATGGTGAAAATATCGATCTGGCAATTTAGGGGATTGTGATAATGAATCAAAGTACAAGCTCAATAGTAGAGGCGGCAAACAAGTAAAATATCGAATTTCTGATTTAGCATCACGACTGCAATCAGATGAGGAGTCCGACGGTTTGACTCTGAGAATTTTAATGGGAACTTACCAATCCATTGGACTGATCCTTTTTGTTCACCAGTGCTCTAGTGCTGCCCCCTTCTGTCATCTCTATGTTAGAGGGTGCATCCCAGTGAGTGGTAGCCCGAGGGATGGAGGTGACACCTTCTGGCCAAGGCTGGTTCTGTTTATCTGATGAATAAGGGCTGCTGCTGTAGTCTGACTTGCCATTAGAGCGGCGCCTACACAACAACAAAACTACATTTACAAAAAAGTTGGAACAAACATCTATGGTTTCATAAGTCACTAACATCAAATACATTTCCTTGAGACAACTAAAGGATGTTTGGTTTAATTGAGACCTTTTATATACAAATATAATGTATTTCCTGGAATCAAGGTCTACTGTAACTGTTTCATTTGTTTCAGATAAAAAGAGTCCCTGACAGAAACATCCGTACCAGTAATGGTATATGAGCTTAGCCAGAAGCAGGATGAGTAGAATTCCTCCTAGAACACAGGAGACGACCACCACTGCCAGCAGAGAAGCTGTAAACACACAGTGTAAAATATATTGTGTATAACTAAAGCGGTGCTTCATTCAGTCAGTCACTTTACATTTCAAATAATGTTTTTTTCCCTTACAGTCTTTGCAGTTAAAGCCGGAGTATCCGAAAGAACATCTGAAAAATAAGCCAGTGGAGCTGGGTTAGTATTAAAACAATATAATATAATGATCAGTTTTGGTAAATAAACTGCATTAACTAAATAAAGTTTAACTAACAAAAGCAGTCCATTATTATTATACTGCCCAAATTGGCAGTTAAATACACAGGGGGTCCTCGGGTTATGTCGGGTACGGTTCCTATCTGCGTCGTGATTTGGATTTGCCCCAAGTCTGAACTTTCATACAATTATACATTTCAAGTCACAAAATATGTGCAGCAATTTGACCACACGGTGTGCTGTTTTTCTTTACTCAACACTGACAGCATGAAAACAGAGCAGTCTGCCTTGTCGGAATGAGAGAACAAGACATTCAAAATAGGTTTATACATTGAGTGTGGCAACGTGACGCCAAAAAGCCAAAGGTCATGGACATCGTAAATCGAGGACCCCTGTGTTCAGATATATGAACGTTGAGAATTTCAGACAACATTTTGGAACTTTTAAGAACATTTTTCCCAATCCCTGCTGACCACAAACATCTCCTGACATTGTTTACCTGACTGTAAACCATAAATAAATTCCCAGTTCTCACCTTACACACTCATCATTTACTGCCTTCCAACCACTTGGACAAGCTGGAAAAAAATTGAGAAAATTAAGAAAATTAACCTCTCCGTCTGGGAAGCATAAATCACAACGAACAGTTAGTACCCAGTTTCCCAGGTCTGGGCAGAATTCATTACAGATTTCAAAACATTTCAGCTTCACTTCTAAATCATGGATTAGAAACCACAGGAAGAAAAAAGAAACACTAAACGTTCATTTGGCTTATAATAATAATAAAAACAAATAATGCAGCCACAAAAAATAAAAGATTCATAAAAGTGATAACAGATATAACTATTCACAGCTTCTTCTCATTCCCATTTAGACATAAATAGTCAGACAAAGCAACAAGTTTTATGAGCTCATAAATGTCGCGCTAAAGTTCGCCTTCAATTCTCCCCGAGTTGGTTAATATTCTCAAAAGCCTGTGAACAGTGCTGGTATTTTTAAATATGTTATTCGTAGTCAACGGATAAGGAAAGAAGAAAACCAGATCAAATTTAACTGAACAAAGCAAGAATCAGTTAACTACATAGCTACAGTAGTTGTCTATGAGTACCCACAAAATATACATTAAAATAGAAAAGCTGCAGTTTGATCCTAAATAATGCACTAATAATTTAAAACTAAAAACAAATAGAGAGGAATTAAATTTAGCCAAACAATTACTGTATCCTTAAGATAACGAAAATGCCAGCTTAGAACCATAAACATGTTTGTATTAGGGCAAATTTATCCAAGTACTAACCTAAAATGCTCCTAACACTGATTGTAAATGAGTCTGAGACTTGGTCTGTTTTTCTTTTTTCTTTTCTTTTTTTGTTCTTCCTAAAGCTAATCTCCTTGGTCACAACCCTGCTCATGAAAAAGAATCTCTGATTCTTCTGCTCGTTTCCAGGGTAACAATACCATTAAAAAGAAATACATTTTAGAGATAAATGAGGTGTGGGTCAAAGTCTGTCTTGTAGAAAAAGGCTAAGACTCTTGACCTTGTGTCTATGTCTCACATCCTGCTGGTTCTCTGCCTCTTTCTCTCTCATACATACACACACACAAGTACTAAGTCAGAACAAGGGCGTTTTTATAGAGTTCTCTTCACTGTAGCCCAGTCTGTGAATGTTTTTTAAGGGAATGTCTGATATATTCCCTGACGCAGTGGGTCATTTGTTCTTATACTCAGAGTGCAACACACTGTAAATACTAGGGCCGTCAAACCATTGAAATGTATAATCTCATTAATCTTCACAAGGGAATAGACACATTATCTTGACAGCCAAAAGAAAGAGGTGATTTGAACAGTTGTCTTTACCTGTACAGCTTGAGTTTGAGTACGGATTGGAAATGTAGCCCTCGCTACAGAAACAAATAGCCTGGCCACTTGTGTTTACGCATCGTGTGGTGGAGACATCACATGGAAATGGCTGCTGCCTACAGAGGTCCGTACCTGAGTAAGTGCATGTATTAAAATTGCATGAGGGAAAAAGAAACTATTAGAAACCAAACATTATTTTACAAATGACATGTTCTCTTTCTAACCCTTGTTAATATTTTTACTGTACTTACTTTCAAAAATGGTATCATTAAAAAATTTGTCTTCTTTTACAGCTCTCTGAATGGTCTGATCCACCTGCTCCTGAGTGAGCTCGGTGTTTTTATAGATGTTATTCACAGTTGCTCGCACACTTCCTTCTCTGGAGGTTTAAGGAAAGGATATGATTTGTAATCTTTGACAAATTGCATAATTTAATTTATTATTGTAGAATGAAAAAGAAAGCAACTCACAGTAGTTGCACAACTTCAGATCGTACATATCCCGACTGACCAAATAATGTCCTGTTGAGCTAAACGCAGAACAAAAGGTAGTTTATTGAGAGAGCGTGGCATTCATCATATATAGTTAAGGTATAATTAAAGTTCACCACCTACCGCAGCTGAGATTTCTGCTGCTGTGTTCTGAAAAACTTTAGAAGCCCTGTTATTCATCTCGGGGTCATATTTCCTGGACCTGAAATGAAGCTGACCTGGAAAAACCTGGGCTGAGTGCGGGAGAGGAGAAAATAAAGCAAAAGTTAATGCATTGAAAATTTCAGTACAACAAAATATTATGATTTCAACATTCACATGACATTATTTGTTACCAGGTACACAGCGGTCATTCATCAAGTAGCTTCCTGTGATGCACTGGCAAACGCTGTTCAAACATACACTATTTAAGGGGCATGGCCTGGCTGGACACACTGAGGAGACATGAAAAAAATAACACTGAACAAGGGACATCCGACTTGTATCTCATGTGATATGGTTTGGATGAACCTGTAAAAGGTCCCATATGAGAAATGGTAGCAAACTTTTTTTTTTAATTGTGGCTGTGATGGACAGGCAATACTAGTACAGTATGAAAAAGTTAATGTAAAAGTTTCAGGAGTGGGCTTACAACTGTTGATATTCATACTCGTAGATCTTGAACCAGTAAATCAAAACAAAAATTTAAACACAGAGGTGCGATGATACTAGACTTTGTAAAGAAGAAAACACAGATCTTTACTAGATATTTACTGTATTTTGTCATCATCTAAACATACTGCATTTCTTAGTAATTTCTGTTGGTAAATGTTACATTTTAAATGTAAACAAGAGTTGTGTTTTACCACAAGGATGCACAAAGTTTACAAATTTGGGTGACAGTTACATACCGACGATTGGGCTTTGTGTGCTAATGGGTGGGGAGGATGTGGTATTGGCGGTCACTGTCGCACCAGAAAAAAAGAGAATGATTAGATTTACATCAGCTTCTTGGCTTTAAACAGACAACATTAACACAGGTCTTTATGCTGAATTTAACCAAAAGTGTTTTAACCATTGTGGTAAAATAAATAACATTTATTCAAACACACACAAAAAGATGTTACATGAGGGCATACAAAAGAGTCAACAGAGTTTGTTGGTCCAAAATGAATTAAAGATGCCAACTATAAAGTGTGATAAAATATGTCTATATCATATACTGTAAAATGTATATATTAAAAGAAGAAAATGAGGTAAATTTAGCCTAGACCTAAAAATGCCAAAAATTACAAAAGTGTAGCCAAGAAAAGCTAACAGTTGCATAATATACAGGAAAAACAAAGCTAAAAAAAATAAGGTATCCCAGTGTCCTGCAGAAGAAATCTTTTTAGATATTTTTAAAAAAAATAAAAAATAGCCCATTTTACAACCTTTCCAGACTAATTCCGCTATAGAAAGTTGTTCCCACACTGGAGAAGACAATGTTACAAAGCCTTAAAGTTGTACAATTGCAACGTGTAGGTTGACACCAATAAGAATGTCATTAAAGATATCTGAAATAAAGAAAACAAATATAATCTTACCTCCTGTGGTGGTATTTCCACTGGGGGTGGTGATGTGGGTTGGAGGTGTAGTCATAGTTGTGATGT